CTATACACATACATACTGCAGGACTGATCACAGCGAGACCAGTACCACAGCACCCGGATCAGACTGAGACCAGTGCCACAGCCCCTGGGTCCCAGCAAGACCAGGCCCGTAGAGAAGTCGCGCTGTTGTGACTGAAGGGAAGTCGAGCTTCAGTGCGGGACGTCATCGGATCAGGACTCAAACCCAGACCGACAGAACGAGGAACAGAGGACAGACTCCAACAGCTTTATTATTGACAGCAGGCAGATGTTACAAGTAGAAACATTAAGAGACACAGTGTCTCTCAGGGACTGTCCAGTGTGATCTCAGTCACAGGAGGGGAGGGAGAGAGAGAGAGACAGCCTGAGGAACAGTGAGTCTGTCTCCCAGTAATGCTCCATCCGCCTACAGTATATGTCAATATTTTATGACATGTCTTTGTTGTAAATGTCTGTAATATGTCTTTAGATTTTATTTAACTTTTATTTTTGTTTCACTTTAATTTTATTAGTTTTATTTGCTTTGACAACACTGATTCATACTAATAAAGCACCTTGAACTAAAAAATTGAATTGACAGGCGGGGGAGAGAGAGAGACGGGCAGGAGGGAGAGAGCGACAGGTAGGCAGGAGGGGGAGAGAGACAGGAGGGAGAGAGAGAGACAGGAGGGAGGAGAGAGAGAGGCAGAAGGAGAGGCGGGGGGTAGGGGGTGAGAGACAGGAGGAAGGAGAGAGAGAGACAGGCAGGGGGGAGAGAGAGAGACAGGAGGGAGGAGAGAGAGAGGCAGAAGGAGAGGCGGGGGGGAGGGGGGGGGAGACAGGGGGCAGCACACAGGTCCCCTGGGGGGCAGACTGGAGACGGACTCAGAGCGTCTGTGGCTCAGAGGGCTGCTCTCTGTGCTCTCGGGTCCTGGAGGTCCAGCAGCCTGCGGGGCGAGGACGCGGGCTCAGCTGGGATCTGACAGGTGTGAGCCAGAGGTCCCAGAGATCCCGAAGGTCTGATCCCGCGGGGAGGTGGGGGGGGATTGCAGTAAAGTGAAGCCAGGGGGCCGGGCAGCGCGGGGGATCCCAGGGGTCCAGGGTTCGAGAGAGCTGCTCTCAGCTGCTGAAGGCCACAGGGTCTCTTTGGGCTGCAGTGGGGGAGCAGCTGTCTGGGCCAGTCGAACCCGTGTCACACACAGACTCTGGTACCACACACTCTGCCTCTCTCTGCTCTGTACTGGAAGCACTGGTTTCCAGTAAGAACACCTCCATCACCTGTAGAGAGATCAGCACGCGGCGTCAGACACACAACACTCAGACAGACAGACGGACACTCAGGCCACAGACAGACAGATGGACCTATGGACAGACCCACGGAGAGACAGACAGACCCACAGACAGGCTGACACTCAGACCCACAGACAGGGGCAGAGACACTGACTAATGACCCACGCAGACCCACGCAGACCCACGCAGACCCACGCAGACCCACGCAGACTCTCGCAGACTCTCGCAGACTCTCGCAGACCCTCGCAGACCCTCGCAGACGCACGCAGACGCACGCAGACTCTCGCAGACTCTCGCAGACTCACGCAGACCCACGCAGACCCACGCAGACTCTCGCAGACCCTCGCAGACCCTCGCAGACCCACGCAGACTCTCGCAGACCCTCGCAGACTCTCGCAGACCCTCGCAGACCCTCGCAGACCCTCGCAGACTCTCGCAGACCCACGCAGATCCACGCAGACCCACGCAGACTCTCGCAGACTCTCGCAGACCCACGCAGACCCACGCAGACCCACGCACACTCTCGCAGACCCACGCAGACCCACGCAGACTCTCGCAGACTCTCGCAGACTCTCGCAGACACACGCAGAACTAAAACCACTGCAGCTGTGATTAAAAACTAAAACTCCCACCATCTGGTCCACCACACAACAGAGTCCAGCAGAGTCCTTCTGAGCCAAGAAGGTCCGGTCAAGACCACTCAGCTGAGTTCTTCCGAGCCAAGCAGGGTCCGGCAGGGTCCGGCACGGTCCAGTCATGGCCAGCGAGACACTCGACCTCAGGTCCGAGCGCTACTTCCATCGTCTCCCCCTCCTCCTCCTCATCACTGACCGCACAATGACCACCCGGCTGACAGGTACAGCCAGCAGTCTGATCCGCGGCACCAGGACAAGCCAGGACCACAGCAGGACTCTGTCCAGGGGAAACTACAGCCCCCCCACCCCGGCCAGCTGCCCCCACCTTGTAGAGTCCCTCCATCACGACGTGTGGCAGGTGCTCGTTCAGCATGGCGGGAGAGATGATGACCTCGTCGAACGCCCGGTTATCACCCCACAGCGCAGAGTAGGTGGGGTCCTCCTGGCCACAGCACCTGCGGAGAGAGAGACAGGTTCACTGCTGCTGCAGAGGGAGAGAGACAGGTTCACTACTCCTGCAGAGGGAGAGAAAGAGAGACAGGTTCACTCATAATAATAATAATAATAATAATAATACTAATACAGTGTGTGATCTCCTGTCATAGTCTAAGTGAGCCTGTCTCTTCAGTCGGAAGGGAGTGTCCCACACTGAGGGAACTGAGTCTCTTCAGTCTGAAGGGAGTGTCCCACACTGACAGGCTGGAGGAACTAAGTCTCTTTAGTCTGAAGGGAGTGTCCCACACTGACAGACTGGAAGAACTGAGTCTCTTTAGTCTGAAGGGACTGTCCCACACTGACAGGCTGGAGGAACTGAGTCTCTTTAGTCTGAAGGGAGTGTCCCACACTGACAGGCTGGAGGAACTGAGTCTCTTTAGGCTGAAGGGAGTGTCCCACACTGACAGGCTGGAGGAACTGAGTCTCTTCAGTCTGACGGGAGGAGACCCAGTGATCAGTCACGGACTAGCAGCTCAGTGACCTCTCCCGCTGTGACCCCTCTGTCCTCACCAGCTCTCCGGGGGGTGGTTGTGCACGACGTGGATGATACGGCCGGGGGGGTACAGCGGGGTGCTGGCGGACAGCGCAATGCTGAGATCGCTGGGGTGGAGCCACTGCCCGGAGCTGGGGACAGAGGTCACCGTGGGGTCATCATCGTTGGGCAGCTCCGACTTGGGGATACACTTTGTGCCCCCCATTATAATCCTCCACTGAGCAAAGGAGAGAGGAGCAGAGAGGGAGACTGTCAGAGCAGCCTGCACAGTGCAAGACAGACACGCTAAACGCATTACACACGCTAAACACACGCCACACGGAGCTCTCCCAGCAAACACACACCGAGTGCGACTCTCCTGCCGGGGCCGTGACCTCACACTGACAACACCGTGCCGGAAGCGAACTGCTCAACATACTGCAGCGACTCTGCAACAACAGAACACTGCCCACCTTTGGCTTGTTGCTTTTCTGCAGGACCTCCAGCAGGTGGCGACGGAACCCCTCCAGCTGAGAGAGGCCGATCCTGTCGGGCAGAGAGCAAGCACAGGTGAACACACACACCTCTCCCCATAGACACCTGCGCACACACACCTGCCCATTGACACCTGCGCACAGACACACATACA